GCGGGAGCCCCTCGGGGAGCCCCGGGCCCGGCACCCGGCGGTCGCAGCCTGGGACGCGCGGGGATAGAGAGCAGCTGCAAAGTTTGCTATCGGATTGCATTGCGGAGCAGGGATGGCGGGGTGGCAGCGTAGGAACTCAACGGGGCTCAGCCCTCACCCGGGCTCCAAGCAGTCTGCGGCCGCTCAGAGCCCCCTGCTGACGGCCACCGCTGTAAGGAGCCTAGACCCTGAAAGCCCCAAACGGAGGTGGCAGCATTTCCAGCGTTTGGGGTTGGGGGGAGCAAGCTCAGTGCAGTCAGTGCGAGATCCTCCTGGAGCATCGACTCCAGCCCAGCTCGCCCAGCTTGGCGACTCACCGGCTGGGCTAGCCAGGTGCTTCCAGGGAGCCCGTGACCTCCGCCAGTGGACTGTAAACTCGCCCAGGACAGGGCCCGTCCCACCGCGCCTGGCCCTGGCTATGCTCTGTGCAGGACACGCAGGGAAAACCGCGTCCTGGGAAGCCAGAGAGCCCTGTCCTCAGCCCTGTCGCGGCTAACCTCCCCTGCCGCAGCCTTTCCACATCTGCGCAACAAGGGGACCGGAAGAAACTGCCTCTGGGGAACTTTTCCAGCTCAAAACATCTAACTCCTAAAGAGCCCCCTCGCTCCGCTCGCCGCGTGTAGTTTTGCAGATTCTCGGACCTCCTCTTTTTCCGGGCTTCCACCTTTTGTTGTAACAAGGAAATATCCCCCTTACCCCCCTATCCCTAGCTCTCACACCAGCCTCTGGCTCTGGGTGGGTCTGAGGTCTCTTCCTGCCTCTTTCTCTCTCCCAGGCTCCCTACCTCCCTACTAGGTATGTCCCAGAGTTTCTCTTCTGCAGCCTGAGCTCTGCCCCTGTCCCTCCACAGTTGTGCCCAGCCATCTCCTCCTGCTGCCGAGGACTCCCCCCGCCCCCCCATCTCCTGCAGACTCCTGGCTGTGGCTCTTCAGAGGGACCCCGCTCAGCCCTCTTTCCTCTCCTCTTGTGTCCACCTCGTGTTTCTTCCTCCCTCCCTTGCTACCTGCCTGGGCCGAGCATGGGTCCAAGGAAGTGCACGGTTCTGGGCCAGTAATAGGATCGTCAGAGAAGTTAGGATCCTTGATTTCAGAGAGGAAAGCTTTCTAAGCTACTCCTTCAGTAGGAGGTCAAGATTGTTTCAAAATCACAAGGTGGTGGGACCAGCAGTTAGCGTAATGGCTATGTCGCTGGACTCTCGTGTAGTCGACCAAGGTTTGAGTCCCAGACCTCGTGGCTTAAACTCACATCCAGCGCGTGTGTGTTTCCAAGATCCTGAGAGGAGAATGGAGAGAAGGGATTGAGGTGTGGCCATCCCCCCTGGGAGGTGATTTCTCGTTTTCTGTCTCTCTCTCTCTCTCTGTCTTGCCAGCGAGCACACACGCCCTATAGCAAAAACCTCTCAAAAAAAAAAAAAAAAAAAAAAATCACAAGGTGGCCATGATGGGTCAGAACTCCAGATAGCATAGCCTTCATTATATGTATCAGTGGGTATGTGAAGTGCTTGTAAAACCATTTCTTTAGCCAGTAAAGTATAGAAGTCAGGGACTGTTAACTCTAGGTAAAGAAAGAAATTAAGGCTTAGAAGATAGCAAATTTGCAGCTAATAAAAGCAGTACCCTTTAGCTCTCCAGCCCGTCTAGCAAACAACTTAAATGTCCATACACCAAGCCGAAATCCTGCATCAAGGTTATGATTTAAAAGCCTCTGTAGGGGGTGAGTAGATGGTGTGGTGGTTAAGTCAATGGATTCCTACTTGGCTGACCATAGTTCAAGTCCCAGACCTGATGGTTTGAAATTCATACTGGCCGTGTATATGCCCAGGGGCCCAAGAGGAGAATGGAGGAGAAGGGATTGTGGCATGGCTATCATCTTGGGGGGGGGGGTCTGATTTCTCACTTTCCCTCTCTCTCTTTCTCTCTGGCAAGTGCATGCCCCCTATAGCAATAAATAAATAAATAAATTACACTTTGGGTTGGGGCTGGCAGGTGGCATAGTGGTTAAGGTGCTGGACTCCCCATGGCTGACCACAATTTGGGTCCTGGAGCCCAGATGGCTTGCTTTCTCACTTTCTCTTCTCTTTCTTTCTAGTCAAGTTAAAATACAATAATAAATTTTTAAATAGTTCTTTTAAAAAAAAAACCATGCACATTCGTCATGGATGCATGCCCCAAATCCCAATGGGATAGAAAAATGGAGATGGGATTGCAATGCCACATCCCATTGGGAGATGTTTTCTCCCACTCCCTCCCTCTGCCTCTGGTTAGAGCATATACCCTCTGGCATTTAAAAAGAATAAAATGAAATAAAATAAGAACGGGAACCAGCAGATGGCATAATGGTTATGTCACTGGGCTCCCACATAGTCAACCACAGTTGAGTCCTGTACCTGGTGGCTTAAAATGCATGCTGGGTATGTGTGCATGAGGGCCCAAAATCCCAGGAGAATGGAGAATGAGGGATTGCAGTGTGGCCATCCTCCCTGGGAGGTGATTTCTCGCTTTCTTTTTCTGTCTCTCCGGCAAGCACATGTTCTCTATAAAGTAAAAAATCTCTCAAAAATAAAAAAAAGTAAATAAAATAAGAGCTCCTGTAATCTCTGCATCCTAAAGTGTTATATCCAACATTGCGAACATTTACTCCTTTTGTTTGCCCAGAGTTTAAAGGAACAACCTATTCTTGTATTTGATAAGAATTAGTATTTATTATTTTTAAAAATTGTTCTATAGCGCATGTGTGCTCACCAGAGAAAGAGAGAGAGAGAAACAGTGAGAGGGAAGAAAGAAATCAGCCCCTAGGAGGAATGGCCACACTGCCAATTCCTTCTCCATTCTCCTCCTGGGATTCTAGGCACACATGTACACATGCCTAGAGTGATTTTCTCTCTTTTTTTTTTAAGAATTAGTTTTTAGTCCTGCGCGCC